CTTTTTTTTTTTTTTTTTTTTTTTCCTACAGGCCATCTTGAATCCTGAGGTGACTTTAAGGATGTACTAGGTTGGTGGAACAACAAGACAGAAAGAGCATGGATTCTTAAGACATTTTTTTGAAGTTAACCTTTTTATTCTGAGATAATTATAGGTTTACATACAGTTAAAAGAAACAACACAGAGATACCCATGTACCCTTTACCCAGTGTTATGGTTTAATTGAAGTATCCCCAAAGACTCATGTACTGAGGACATTAAACCTCACCAATGGCTCAATGCATCATGGTTGAATGGGCCATAAGGAGGTGGGGCCAAGTTGGAGGGAGAGGTCACTCCATGCCTTTGAAGGATATACCCTGTCCTCAATCCCTTCCTTTCCCTCTGGTTCATTCCCTGGGCTGTGCTTTCTCGCTACTGTGAGGTGAACAGCTTTACTCTACCATGCTGTTCTACCATGATGTTTCTGCCTTGAAGCCAGCTGACCATGGACTGAAACCTCTGAAACCATGAGCCAAATTAAATTTCTCTTTAAGTTGTGTACATCAAGTATTTTGTTCCCAGCACCATAAATATGACCAATATACTTAATTTCCCTCCTAGTAACATCTTGCAAAATTATAGTGTATTATCACATGCAAGATCTTGATTTTGATGTAGTTAAAATCCCTTATATTGTACATTTGGCATCACATCCATTTTCTCCCATGTCCCTACACCCTCCTTAACCTCTGGAAATTAGTAGTGTATTAGGCCTGAACCTTGATGACAGCAGAACTTCATTCCAGCCCTGGACCATTTACCCATGGAATATTGGTTCACTGATTGAGAAACATAGCTATCTATTTTAATTAACCCGTCTCATTTTAAAATGTCATACAACTGAACCTAAATTTTTACTAAAACAGTGGTGGTCCAGAAGAGCAGGCCAAAGAATCACCATTATATTAGATAAAATAAAGACACATAAAGTTGGTTTCAAAGAAGTAGGAAATCTCAGCTAAATTAAGAAAAGTTTAGGGATTGTTGTTTTCACGTACTGCTGAATTTCGCTCCTGTATGACAGTAACCCTGAATGTTATGAAGTGATTTTGACTGTTTTGATTTCTTGTCTATAATTTATCTTAAAATATTCTGTGCACTACAAATATTTTATTCATAAGAATTTATTACATTCTAAATCTGCCTTTGTGATTTCTGGAGGTAACAGTATTTCCTAGTAGATTTCAGTTTTGAGTCTCAGAAAGAAATTAGTGAAGGAAGTGGAACTAGATCTCCAGAAATGTTCTAGAAATTCGGTTGAAATGTGCCAGGCCTGCTAGAACCACTGAAGAGTCTCTGCTTGTGGCTTACACTGTGTGTCATGACTTAGATCTAGAACATCCTCCAAAAGTCTCATGTGTTCAGAGCTGGGTTTTTGGAAGGTGATTAGATCATAGAAGCACCGTACTCCTCAGTGGATTAATCCATGGATGAGTTCATGTTGTTAGGAGGCTTCCTAAGTGGGCGTTTATAACTCAGGAGCAGAGGTGAGGGCCAGAAGAGGTATGTCACTGAGGTCATGCCTTTGGAGGATGTATCTCCTCCCTGACTGCTTCCTGATTGCCATGAGGGGAGCAGTTTTACTCCACCAGACCCTCCCACTATAATACCAACCGTAGACTGAATTCCCTAAACCATGAATGAAATTAACTGTCTCCTTCTTTGAGTTATGAGTGTTGGGTATTGTGTCCTAGCAACAGGAAATCTGACTAATGTACTGTATTTCCCTTTCCAGGGGCTGGAGTCAGAGAGGATGTGTTTCTCATTTGGAAGGAAATGGAGGAGGCCTGTAGCACACTGGCACAAGTCCAGCGGCTGGTGGCTGAGCTTCCAAAGTCCACTGTGGCCCCAACAGACTGGGGTGGGTGCTATTTGTGGTCCATAGTGTGAAAGAGTCATAAATATCAATTGTTGGGGGATAGGGGCTGTTTCTGTGTTCCTAATCAATGAGAGTACCTTGGCTGAGCTATGAGGAGAGCCTCCATTGCCATTCTGTTGTGTGTGTGTGTGTGTGCACGTACATGAATGTTTATAAATTGTCACAAAAGAACTAAAGGTACAAAGAAGTTAAAATTGTACAAACAGATTCCTCAGGAACTATTGCAAGAGGGGAAACTGGCCTCAGTACAGATCTGGGCTTAATTCTGAATACAAGTGGGCATTAATAACTCAGGAGCAGAGTTAAGGGTCAGCAGATGGAAAATTATAAAGAGGAAACTTCAAGGGTAAGAAGGATTCTGTCTAAATTGATCTAACAGGATTCTTACTAAAGGCCGGCCAAAGTGGTCAGACATCCCCTGAGAGATAATGGGGATGAAGAATCTGATGCGATATCAAAAGTGATCAGGTAGTAAGGGCAGGGGAGTCTGGATACTGGGATGTAGCAGGACTTAGGCCAAAGTCCAGCTATGTAAAGATGAGTACTGTGGCAGTAATGATGGAGGGTTACTTTGATTAGCTTTGAAATCCACCCAGGGGAGTGGTAGAGCATACTGCTAGGTGTGTCTGGCTGTGTCATGGAGGCACATGGGGTCTCTGTCTGGTCGCTGGTTATCTCCTCTCCATTGCTGTTCTCTTGCTCTGCCTCTGGGCCACCACGAACCAAGCAGCTTTGCTCTGTCACACCCTTCTTGCCATGATGTTTGTGCCTTGGAGCCAGCCAACCACAGACTGAATCCCCTCAAACCATGAGCCAAATTAAACCTTTCCTTCTCTTAACTTGTGGATGCCAGGTATTATGGCTCAGCGATAAGAAAGCTCACTAATATAGGCATAGAGACCCATAGGCTAAGGCCTAGCTGAGCAGAGGATTCAGAGGACGCAGACTTAATTCTGATCAAGGGGAGACGCTACCAAGGTACATGTACTCTTAGAGGGACCATGAGAACTAGAGGAGAATAGGGCCCTTGCCTGCAGACTGAATCACATTCAAACTGTGGCAGGCAGTCATCCGACTCACCCTCAGATAACCAGATGGAAGGCTAAATTCATTTTTTCACATCTTCTTGAAGGCCATTGCTCTTCTGCAGCAGGATCTAGAACCTTACTGCAGAAGGCTGGCCAGGCCAGGAGAGGGGTTATAGACTGAGGGGGAGAGGGTAAACATGGGTTCGCATAATTAATATTAAAAGGAATCATTCAGTTCACCTGCATATCCTGATTTTGAGCTTAGAGCTCTTTCATGTAATTTGGAATAGCACTTGGAATTTTAGAGTTCAGAAGGCTGACCTGCACTCTGTAAATGGTAACAACAGCTATGATGACCCTGAGTAAGCCCTTCCTGTGGACCAGGAGTGGCCCCTCCTATTTAGGACTTTTGCTCCTCATAACTCCAGAGGAAGTTATACCTGCTATCCTCATGTGACAGGTAAGGAAACTGAGGTACGGAGAAATTAAGTAATTGGTGTATAGTTACACAACTTTTTTTTTTTTTTTTTGGTACTAGGGATTGAATCCAGGGTGCTCACACTGAGCTACATCCCAAACCTGTTTTTTGCATTTTTTATTTTGAAACAAAGCCTCACTAAGTTCTCAGGCTGCTCAAACTTGCAATCCAGAGTGCTGGGATTACAGGTGTGCACCACCATGCCTTGTTCTGATTATACGTTTAAAAAATTAGTAGTAATGTGGTATTCATCCGAGCATTACTTTTCCAGTTACTAATTAGCATCTATCCTATCCTGAATAATGAAAGTGCTGGCTTGGGCTTTGACGTGCTCCAGCCTTGCTGTACCACAGAAGCAAATTCAGTGAATTTTTATTAGTGAATGACATTGAGACTGCAAGGAATTTTTTTTCTCTTCTTGTCAACCAAAGCATTTTTCATAACAAAGAGCCTACATTTTGGAGCGAGAGAGACCTAGTTATAAATCCCAACTCTATCATTATTCTGTTCATCTCTTTTAGTCTTAGTTTATTCTTTTGTAAAATGACTATAATAGTTGTCAATATGGAGGGTTTATTGTAAAAGTTAAATGAAATCATGCATGCTTTGCAGCAAGCAGTTACCTAATGTCTTGGATATTTTCCCTTGCATCTTTAGGGGCTTTGGTACACTGACTTTCCTGCATGAATTCTAGAGGAAGGAGAGGATTTTCCTCTGCAAGGCACTAGTTTCCTTTAGGGTGCACCTGACAATAATAATACCTAATGCTGAACGCACACGTCTTTTGTGTTAGGCTGTGTTCTGGGCACATCACACATTTAACTCATTGACTCCTTACCACACATCTTATGTGGTAGGTCCTACTGCATCATTATCTCAATTTTGGATTAACTTATCCAAAGCCCTACTGCTAGTGAGTAAAGTAGCCTATACCAATCATCTCCTGGTATCTGATTCCCACTGCCAGATAATCCATATGGGGTTGAAATGTTTAAAGCTCCCAGGTGAGCAGAATGTTCAGCAATGTCTAGAACCATTTCCAGGCTGTGGTGTCTCCCAGTACTGCCTATGTTATGGAGGTCTTCACAGTGGCTGAGAGCAAGGAGGCCAGGCTGGCTTGGAACAAGGATGCAGAAATGGGGACAGGGATTTTGTTATGGTTTTGAGCTAGATGTTCCCTTAAAGCCTCATGTGATCATACATAGGACTTTTGGAAGGTGATTAGATTATAGGGGCATCATAGCTGACTTGCTGTTAAGAGGTAGGGCCTGGGCTTAAGAGGCAGGTCACTGTAGGAATGACTTATAAGGTTCTGTGTCCCTTCCTGGCCACTCCTTTCACTCTCTCTGCTTTCTGTTCACCATGCTGTGAGTAGCTGTCCTCCACAATGAGCCCTCTGCCATGCTGTCTTGCCTTGGAGCCAGCTGACTGTGAACTGAAATATGAGCCAAAATAAACCTCTCCTTCCTTAAGTTGTGCATGTGAGGTATTTTGTCCCAGTAACAAGGGAAGTGACTAAGACTGATATGTTGAGAGGGAGGGAGAAGTTTAGGCATAGGTGAACTTGTCCTGTGTGATCCAATAAGTTTCTGCTGACAGTGGTTTCTTCTGGTGACTTTGTCTCCTGACTTGGGCCTGGAGTTCTAGCAGCTGTGGCTACTTTTCCAGGACCACTGTTATGGGGGTTCCAAAGGAGGGGCCTAGTCAGGCTTTTCTAGAGGTACTGCTCACTGATATAGATACCCCATCCAAGAACCCAGAGGGTTTCCTGTCATCCTGAGATGATGAAAATGAGGCAGGGAACTCAGGCTAAAGTAAACATTTGCCAGGCAAAGAAGATGGTAAGCCTGCTGCTAAGGTGTATGTTTGGGAAAAGTGCTATAGATTGAATTTATTGCCCACTCCCATTATATGAAAAATTCCTGGAGAATAAAACCTGACAAAAGTATATAAAACAATGTTTTTAAAGACTCATGAGACCTGAGATACATGGAAAAAACAATGAGCTGTAGATTTTCCCAGCTGACTGCCTTGAAAGAATGCCCAGGCCATGGCTCATGAAAGAAGAACCCGGGCAAAGTATGACAAGCATCCTGCGTTTGGGAGATAGAACTGAAAAATGGAGTCTAGAGAGACCAAAGTGGCTAGAATTCAAAGGAGCTGGGGTGGGGGGAGGAAGGAGGAGAAGGAGGAGGAAGAAGAAGAGAAGAGAAAGAGAAGAAGGAAAAGAAAGAAAGAAGGAGGAAGAGGAGAGGCAGTGGAGGAAGAGAAGGGGGAGAAGGAGGAGAGGAAGAAATCTGCAGAGAATCACCTTGAAAGTTTTGTTTAGCTTGTGCATTAAAGAAAATTACTTTATGCTGGGGAAAGAGTCATTGGGAACCAATAGAAGAAAAAAGCTTAGAGTTCACACAGACCCCGGCATAATGCTTCTTTTCACCAACCTGAAAATTTTATAATTTATAGGATTCTGGGTAGAATACTTGGGAAGAGCTTGTCCTAGTAATGGAGAAAGATTAGCCTTAAACTAAGAACCTCTCTCAGAACTCCTAAGAAATCATCAAAGCAAGATACGTGAAGAACAAATTGTTTTTAGGTAACATAACTGATCTTAGAACAAAGTTCTGATTTATAGAAGTACAAAACCATCCAGTACCCAACAAGGTAAAATTCATGAATGGCATTCAATTAAAGATTACCAGGCATGAAAAGAGTCAGGAAAATGTGACTCCTAATAAAGAGAAAAATCAGTCAGTACTGACTGTCATCATGAGACTCAGAACTGGGTAGAAACTTAAAGCTGCATTCATAAGCTGGAGCTCACAGACTGAGCCTTGAGATTGACCCTGGTATCAGGCAGAGACCCATGTTCCTGTGGGACAGACTCAAATTTTGCTCTGCACCATATTCAGCCTTTTAATAAGCCTAGAGACACCCACCCTTCTCCCCAAACTGTGCAAGCCCCTGAGGCTGGGAGATTCTGGTGTGACCTGTAGGGAGCAGAGAAAGGGATGTTACCAGGACCTCTGCCTTGGATCTTGGCCTGTGAGTCTACCACAGCACAAGGTGAATTCAAGAACATACAGAAATGAGAATTAGAGCAGAGAAACTGAGTTTTGGGTCCTGGTCAGTGCTGCTGATGGCAGCAAAGACAAAGGCCCCCACGCACACCCAGTATTTTTTTAATGCAATCATGGGAAGGAATAGGGAGCAGGGTATGCTTTGAAGGCATCTAGTGAAATATTGTCGAACACCTGCCATGATGGCGCTGGCAGGGCTTTTAGGGAGTAAGCACTGTTTATCTTGCTTGGATAGAACAAAGCAGTACTGGGACTGGATGCAATTAGCATGCAACTCATCGGGTCAGTGAGAGGCCATAATTCAGGGAAAAGGGTTTTAATTGGGATCATGCTGACTTCAGCTGCACATAACTCAGCAGAGCCCTGCCACTTCATAGCCTAGGGCCTAGGTTGCCATGG